TCTCTCTCTCTCTCTCTCTCTCTCTCTCTCTCTCTCTCTCTCTCTCTCTCTCTCTCTCTCTCTCTCTGATTTCTACACGCCCGCTGGTTACCCCAGCGCGCACATTTTAATGGGAAACTTCAGCTCTGCCACAAGAAGAAGAAGAAGAAGAAGAAGAAGAAGAAGAAGAAGAAGAAGAAGAAGAAATGGAAGAAGGAGAAGAAGATAGTAAGAAGAAGAAGAAGAAGAAGAAGAAGAAGAAGAAGAAGAAGAAGAAAGTTTGGGTCACTCACCTTCAACGGTGGACCACGGGGCGGGGTGATGGCAATCCGAGGCCGGGGCGGACGTGGGAGGGGTGCAACGCAGTCGCAACCTCATTCACTTTCGACGAAGTGTCGAAGTGACGGGTTGGAGGCTGGAGGCTGGAGGCTGGAGGCTGGGTGGAGGCTGGAGACGGGGTGGCGGGGCCGATCGCTGCAATCAGTTCGGCTAGTCGAACTTCGGGCGGTTTCCCGCCCGAATGTTCAAAAACTGCGGTCTATCTGGGCCGCAGATCTCACGAGATCGACGGCCCAGATAGGCTGCCAGTTTTTCAGCTTTCTGGCGGACCTACCGGGCCCGCTTTTAATTTTTTCGGGGACGGGAGGCCTCCACGACCCGCATGGAGGCCTCCAGGCCCCAAAAAAAATTCAAACCCCCCGCGATCCACGTGCGCGGAATGCCACCGGGGGGGAACCGGCACGGTCCACCGGCCGGTACTACCAGACCGGTTCCGGTGGGGGAAGGGGGCCCTGGTGGGACCGGAAGTTCAGCACTGCTCCAGAGGCAATAGCAAATGCGGGATGTCTAGCCATAGAGTGGTGGAGATGGTGGTGATGTGAGTGGGCCGTTTCCAATGAAAAGCAATGCCAGTGCTGTTGTGCTTGTGGGCCACTTGGAGGGCTCTCCAAGTTTCTTCGGACTATTGGTGGGTCTGGTCTGTGCTTTCTTGCTGGTGGAGCCTTCTGTGTTAGGTATGTTGCCCTTTGCCCTTCACCTTTTTTATAGATTGGGAAAACTATATACATCTGTGCAAGTGTGCCACTTTGGCGACAGACGGGTGTGTGGCCACTTCCCCCTCAACCACAGAAACGTGGGGAACCTTGCACCTTCTATTATATTGACCGCCTATACTTTCTTTTGTTCTACGGATGGTTTATGATGATTTGTGGATGGAATGGGAGAGAGAATTCGGGGTTTTGAGAACACACACACACACACACACACACACACACACACACACACACACACACACACACACACACAACACACAAAACACACACAAACTGGTGCTGCATGGTCAGAATTGCCTCCCGTCTGGACCCAAAAAAAAAAAAAAAAACAGGCCGGACAAACCCCAGTAACATTTTACTAGGATCGGCCTCGATGCTACCAGGGGTACCTTAGTCAGACTTATTGTATCCGTTTGATAAACTTTGATTCCATCAGGTTCAAACTAACGACCTGTTTGTTAACAGCCACATTTGCCTGCCTTGGGTGTTGGGATTTGATTTAAGATTAGGTTTGAATAACATATCACATACCAGTGTTGCATGCCCCGATGGTCGGCACCCCTTGACTGGTCGGCACCTACCGGTCGGGGGTCGTCGGCACCTACCGGTCGGGGGTCGTCGGCACCCCACAAAAAAAAAGAAAGAAAAAAAAAGGGTCCAGAAACCCCCAATAACCCCACAACAGCCCCATACCCACCCCCAATACCCCCATAGACCCGCCCAACACCCCCAAACCGCCCCCAACACCCTCATACCCCCCCGATACCCCTATACCACCGCTATACCATCCCCGCCCCCAATCCCCAAAAGTTTCTCAGCCGATTTGGGCTGTACTCAGCAAGCACATTACAGCACCCAACTCAGATTTGAAAAAACAAAAGTGGATGCACTGGATGGCTGTTTTCTGACTGGTCGGCAGACCGCCGACCGGTCGGCCCTACTGATCGGCTGCCAAACAGTCGGCAGTCGGGGTCGGCGGTCGACAGGTATGCAACCCTGTTGCATATTCAGAAAAGGATACTAAAGGAAGTGGCCGTCGTAGCTCAAGGGCGTCCTGCAAATGAGCTATCATGCACAGGCCTTACATTTTACGGTTTTTACCTCATGATGTCACCATCTTGGAAGGACTTCCATTATGTTTGGACTTAACAATACATATGATGTTGCTGGGAGAAATCTAGCAATGCAAGTGAGTGCCATGAATTGACAGGATTACAATACAAGAGCTACCATGGACGACCTATATTTGAGTCAAGACAGTACAGAATAGCAGAGAACTTACAGGGGTCCTCCTGGCTGACGCCTGTGAGCCTATCCCAGTAGGCGTCAAACCGTTTGGTTGGTCAATAAAGTGATTTCCAATTGTGCCACTTGCAACGAAAGTCCCAGTAGCCGGGACTCCATTCAAAAGAGGTAAGCCAGCACGATTCCTCGAGTCGTCAAATCCGTCCGGCATCCTTCTGCGCTTCATTGTGTCTGGCAAATTCTCCATGGGGTTCACTGGCATCACATCAGTATCCTGCATCAACAGCATCAGGGTGAATTAGTCACACACACACACACACTCATCACTCAAGCCCGCAATCGCTCACTGCTTCAGATCAATTGTGACTCTCATGTTTTCAGCTGGGTCTGAAAGCAAGAAAGTCCGTGACTCTTTTCACTACTGTCTTTCCCAAAAGATATATCAAGTTATCAACCTGCATTATGCCGCATCAAAACAAAGGTCTAAAGACAGGTACACTCACCATGCTCATGCTTCTCAGCAAGCAAAGACACAAACTGGTCATCTGCGATGCGCTTTAACCTGATGGGCCTACTCACCCAGGCAGGGAAGGCGAGGGCACCAAGGCCATCATCTCTGATGTGCTTCACCTGAAATGGGGGACGAAGCAGGCAGGAGAAGGTTGTGGGGAGGGAGGTAGAATCTGGTAGATGGCATAGGAAGAAAGTGCTAGGAGTCTGTCTGAAAAAGGTCAGTAGCAAGGATACGCACCGGCCGATTCACCGGTACAGTGTTCCACCAGAACTAACAAAGGAAAGTTACAGATACCTGACATGACTATGTCTGACTGTTTCCCACACCATTTACAACCGCAGGTGATGACATGAAAAATTGAAACAACACCCATTAGACGGGACTCACCTCCACAAGCTCGACACCCAGATCCGTGCGATCAAACTGGACTCGGCATCTTCCACGGTCAACGGTAAGAACGCTGCCATCATGGATCTGACCTTTCTTCGGGTGCCGTGCCGTCACTCTCTGCCCCACAGCAAGCGGCTTCGCAAAGTCCTGGGAAAATCCCTCTACAACCCCAGAACGCATCTCTTGATAGTGGTTTCTTGCAAGTTCTCTATGCAAGGCCAGTTTCCCCCTTTCTTCTCGCAGAAAGGCCTGCGATAGGCGCCTCGGCTTTCCCAAAGAGCTCCGGATCTCTCCCCACTCGACACGAGTCAGCCTTGTTACGTGTCCTAAGCCTAAGTGCTGCAGGTACTCGACAAACTCATTGCGGATGAACCATGGCAGATCAATGTCAGAGTAGAACCACTCGCACATGCACCATCTTTGAACCGAAGGCGATAACAAAGCATGCATCAATCTTGCCTGCAATCAAACCGTCACAGATGAGGTGCAAATGACAAAGTACAATAGTCAGAGTACTGGTCAACGAAATACCCATCATACTACGAATGCTGAGGAGCTTCAACAGGACAAATGGGACATTGTAAAAACTGTTACTGTATCCTACAATTACCAAAAGGCAATATGAAGCCGGTAGTCCATTACCCAAGGCAGCCTCTCACCACCAAACAAGTTAGACAGATAGCAAAATAGCAAAACATACTATTCAGAAAAACCACTGCACGACGTCAGATTTAATTCCCAGCAAAACGATGACATAACTTCACATAAGGCATTTCGTTTTTCGTTTGTTTTTAACACAATGGGCCAATGGCCCCTTCTATTCTGGGGGGCAACAGCCCGGTTGCTTATCACCGGAAGCATGTTTGTACATCCAAAGAAGGGGGGAGATCAGACCAGAGAAGGGGAACGGTCCAACCCTTGTGGCACTAGTCACCGAGCAATGACATAAGGCATTTCCCCATCTGCATGTATCTTTTCCATTGGCTCCAGAGAAACAAGCGAATCTAGCAGATGTATCTTTTTCATTGGCTCCAGAGAAACAAGCGAATCTAGCAGACGCACACATGGGGTGTTGCTGTCTTTGTTTGAGGCCATGATGACTCGATTGCAGGCTGAGCTCCAGATAAATTGATGTGCTCAGTAGACCCTGGATTCAGCAGGCCAACATCCTGTGATGTTTTGGATTGCACAAGGGCTGTCTGCGTCTCCATGTGTAACCCACACCAAAATTGTTTCCACCTTCAACGTTCACACCAAATGGTTATTCTGCGACTACAATGGAACACTCAGCAGGCACGTGCCCTCTACGTATGACTAGCTCCCACACACTGAGGGGGTCCAAACCAAGCATCGAAAAGGGGGATGGGAAACCAAGCATCGAAAAGGGGGATGGGAAAGGGCACAGAAGTAGCTCGGGTACACTGTAGCAAGCAACAATGCAAATGGCACGAGTTAGTTATACAATTCGCCAAAATTCAACAGCCAACCCGCCCGAGGGAGCCTACACGGACCCCCCCCCCCCCCTTCTTTCCCTCAAACATGCTTTCAATACCTTGTCCTCGACCCATCCTCTCTCTTCCAAGGCTATTAAGCATTCGACCTACCTTTCCACTAGCACCTTTTAACCCTGTTGTTACATGGGCACAAGTTGCTGGTTCTCTTGGCTTCGGCGAAGTGGGATGCTCACTCCCTGTCGTGACTGATCCACCAGTCCCACCCCTTGTGTGCTCTGCCCCACCTTTGGGGTGGGTAACAATTTCTTCACCAGAACTTCCTTGCACGGCACCTGAAGGCAGTCTGTTTTCCACCCCATCACACGCACTGCCATTTTCAGCCGGTCCACCACTCATCGACGCTGACCCTGCTGTTGCCACTCCCATGCGCTGCTTCTTGCTGCGAAGCTTCAGGGGCAGAGCACTCTTTTCACCTGTTGCCGCAGGCGTGGCACAAGTTCCCACCAACTCAGAGCCTCCAGAGCTCACTGCACCAACCTCCTCTCCCTCCCTGGCCAACGACAAGGCTCCATCATCTCTGAGAATTCTCTGTCCTGCCAAACCATGCTTTGAACCACCATCCTTAGGAGTCGCATCCCTTCCTGGTGTGATCCGCTTGGGCTTGTTGCGTGGCTTGATCATCGGATCAGGGGGTTTATTTCCCGGTGGAGGTGTTATCAAGGGAAGCTAGTATGACAGCCAATATCAACAGACACAATCACCGACTGACCAAATTAATTCCCCTCCAAAGTCTCACACACTTCCAAGATGGAAGAGACACAACAAGGTGGAAGGTTGCACATGAATGCAAAGCAATCAGACAATGGCATCACTAACAATACACTGGTTCTCCGAATGAAGTTCTAAATGTGAGAAAGAAAACACACACCAAGTGGAACAGACACAAGGCACACACAACCGAGCACTCATATATTCGACTGAACCATTAACAAGTCGCATACACGTGAGCAATCAGATATGGGTGTATCATCAGCAGACATCGCTTCTGACAGCACAGTTCTCCTCCAAATCCATTCCAAACATCGCCCATATAAAAAGTATTAAAAACTATATACAACCGCTGAAAACTATTTCTCCACGTGTGGAACATAAACATGCAATAATATAGGAAACTACTGAGGAGTTACAATCATTGGCAATCCAATTGAAAGTCCCCATACACCTAGTAGTGCATCTAGATACCCCAAAGTCAGGCTCAGGTCTAGGAAAAACAACATTGCACGTGTTCCCTTGCCAAAGCTTCAGTTGCATCCGCACAAAATTGGGCAGGCAGGAAGAAGACCAGATCAAGCGTAGGTGCGAGGACAGGAGGTCAAGCCCTTGCTGCTCAACGAGAAGGCACGTGCTACACTGGAACTCGGCCAGATGTGACGAAAGCCCATGTCACAAGCCAGGCCTTTATCAGATATATGTATGTGTTAGCTGAACAATACACACCTCTACCGTTCAATCAGAGTAAATTGGGAGTTTGGAGCCTGCTTGGTATAACAACATCAAGGCTGACCCCTTTTACAAGTGCTCACAGCAACCACATACTTGGAGAGGCGTGATATTTATCCTCGAAGTGGCTGAGACACGAGATTCTGCATATTCTTGCCACTGTCTTCTGAGACATTGTTAAATTGGCCCGAAACCTTCTCTGGCTAGCACTCCTGGGGTCTCTTGGACTACAGCTCAGGCCCAGATAACTACAGCTCTCCCGAATAGCTGTGCCGGATGAACATGAACAAGCTGAACGTGACAACGCCAGATCGGGAAACACGACAATGAGTGAGGCGAGCCCTCACCTGAGCCACTCTAGTGTCACGGGAATAAGCTTGGCAGCAAGATAATACCAAGCTTGGCAGCAGGATAGTACTCTTCGCAAATAGGTGGTCTGGTTTTCGGCATGTTTATTTAGGTGTACTGGTGTTCATGAAGGAGGGGTGGGGACTGTGCTAAGTGTTTTGGCTTGACTGTCAGTCAATCCTTCTCGAGGGAAGTAATCAATAATGGCAGGGGTCCCTAGGCCGTAACGTGGGAAAGCTGTAGGTGGAGCATATAAAGACCGTCCATGGACGACAAGCCTGGTTCCCAGTAGGTGCCGCCCCCCACCAATACAAAGGGTTAAAAAAACGAAAAGAAAGAAAGGAGGAAAAAAAAAACATGAACTGGACAAAATGTAGCTCGAGTTCATGCCTACTTTGCACAATCTCAGTCCCAGCAGGGACTGTATAACAAAACAGGACTAGAACCCTGAGCTCATCCCTCGACAACACCAATTACAAAGGTCCCAAGCTCTGGTATAGAAACACCAGTAGTAAGTACTTGACCTTTGCATCTTAGTCCAGGTTCAAACCTATGTTCCGCAGCGCTTCACCTCGTGCAAAAAGCCAGGCCATCTGTGGGCTGTGTTGCTTCCAACTATCGACCCCCGAGTACCATTCGCAATACTCCTAGAGATCATGTCCAAGATATTGCTGGATCTATCACTTGTGCAAAAGCCATCCCATCTGTGGGCTGTGTTATTTCCGACTATTCGCTCCGAGGTACCATCCGTACTAATCTCAGCAACCCTGTCCGAGGTACTGCTCCGTTTCGCCACCTGAAACATCCTTCCTCCACCTATAGCCTAGTTCACCACCTTACCGTGGCGACACAAATAGCAGGGTGGTGCACTCCCCTGGCAACTACACCATGCATGCCCACCCACGTCTTCCCCACCATCACCACTGCTCTCCCATCACAACATCTGATAAATGGATAGGTTTTGTGTTGTGGACAGCCTTCGTAAGGACGCAAGAAAGAGAGCCAGGGAGTTGGGACCACATCAGGAGGATAAGAAAAGAGGGATAAATGCATCGAGCACCCCCAGTAGGATTCACACAGGAAAACATGGAGATGGGAATGGACAATAGGAATTGAGCACATCATCTACGACAGAAACGTGAAGGAGCACCCCCAGTAGGATTCACACAGGAAAACATGGAGATGGGAATGGACAATAGGAATTGAGCACATCGTCTACGACAGAAACGTGAAGGACATCCCAGAAGAAAACATGATTCTAAACTGGTTATGAAAAGTGCAGAGCTAGGAATCATACACCACACCTTCTCTGGCACAGGCTTCCGCTTCCTCTTCCTTCCCTCATGCTGTGCTGGCGGCTGGCTTGGCGGTGGCTCCAACGGTGCTTTGGCTCCACCTCCTTCACGGCGAGTTGCATCATCTGGCACTGCACGCTTCACAGTGCCATCCTCCTTGGTCACTTCCTTGGGTACACTACCGCAACCTCCTCGCGCATCCACTGCTCCAGAACCAGAAGGTGAGACATTTTCTGCTGTAGCATCATTTGCTGCTGCTGATGCTGTCATTGCCACACCAGAACAAGCTGCAATGGCACCTGACCGTAATCCATCTCTGGCTGCTCCTGATGACATATTAGTTGGTGATGATCGAGCATCCCCAGCTGGTGAGACGGATTGCACCAAAGAAACTGATGCAGATGAACCAAGATGCAGTCCTGACTGTCCTGGTGTTTGAGGCGCTCGTCCTCTCGTCTGCGGTCCTGCTCCAGCCCACTCTCTGTCCTTTGGCACCTGAGCGGAGGGAGATGACATCTGCTGTGAATTGGATGGAGGAGACATTGCCGACCATGCCCCAGACGTCCCTGTTGGATGCCCAGTTTCTGGAGTGGAAACAGGGGATATCGTCCTTGATGATGGATTTGACACAGAGTCACGTACATGTTCAGCCAATGGAAACCTGCTTTCACTGTCCTCCTCCTCACCAGCTCCAGCTCCCGAAACACGTGCGCGCGGTGCTAAAAGGCACGCATCGATGCAACACATTCCCAAAACAGGAAAACACCACACACAAACGATTGCACAATAGGTAAGCCATGCTATGGGGACCTGTGAAGCGCTTCGATCACTCCCAAGCGGACAATAGCTCCAGGTTTCGAACGCCGAATCAAAAAGCTGAACTTTGCACTTGGAAAATCAAACTTGCAAAACAAATACTGAAACCTCTCGTTGAAACCTCCTCAATTAACTTACCTTCCTCACTCTGAGAGCGAAGCAAGCCATTTAATGAAACCACAGCCAGAGTTGCAAGTGCGTCAAGTCCACTTCCATTATCTGTGAATACCATCAACAACAAGTCAAAGAGGCCACAGAAGTAGAAAAAATTATGAGCTGGTTAAAAGACCACCAGTGGACCTCAACCCCTCAAATTAACATTGCAGAAGCAGCCTGGAATAACATGACTGCTTTCAATGTTTTGCTTTTCACATCAATGGACAACAGTATCCATAATCTTTGAAATTGTTCACATATTGTTCACATAGATTAATACCACATTTTTGGGAGGGTCAAACAATTAATGCAAAGATGAAAGCCGGAAAAAATTATCATCCACCAATCACCCAGAATTAATTGACCTGGTCCATCTTCACCCATCTTCACAAGTGGTGAAAATTGAAAACATGATCTACACACCCATCTTCATAAGAGACCCTTTTCGGCGAGTGCAGCAGCGCAATGCCATTCTCATTCAAGCCGAAAGTTCTCAGCATGTCTTGGCACAACAAGCGGATCAATACCCGTCTTCCTGAATCAGCCTAATGCCCCTTCTTGAGCGGAAAAACAAAAGATCACAGTGAAAATCGCAGGTTTGTGTGTGTGCGTGTGTGTGTGTGTGTGTGTTTTGGATTTTTGCCATATTCCACGCAGATCAGTAGATCCAAAATCAAAGCAGCTTTAGTCAGGGTTGTTTTGGCGCCTACCGCCTTCCCCTACCGTAGGCGGTAAACGCGCCTACCAGTCCGGCTGACCCGTAGGCGGACCCGTCGGCGGTCGGCAGACTGCCTTTTTTTTTTTTTCCGATGACATGGTCGTGTGCGGCTTGAGGAGGGCAGCCCGAATCCGCAATAATTTTTTTTTGGCGGTGGTGGGTTTATGGGGGC